AGCTATCCAGTTAGATATGGTAAGGTCAGTGGCTCTACTGGTGTGTCCATCCATGTCAAAAATACTGAAATTAGATCAATATCAAGGCTAGAAAATATGGGAGGATGAGAGATGTTGCCTTTTACATTTTCTCTGAATCAAACCAAGTTTGTATTTTTCATATAATTTTGTTGAGTACGTTACTTTTTGAGTGATTTCCCCATTACAGGATATTTTGAAAAACCAGAAATAAAATGTAATAAATGGATAAATTCATGAGTGCAGAATTATATTGCAGCCAGCTTTTCATTTATGGTGGATCTTCAATAAGCAAGTTTGTTTTGCGGGATAATATACTATAAGTGGTCTTTAAACCTTACTTGTTTTATTGAGGGCTTTCCTTGCATAAATGTAATTATTTTGTTTTTGTTTACTGTAAATTACAACTTAAGAAAATTTTCTTCTTTATGTTTGCTGTTTTTAAGTAGGAAATATTTATTTTGAGTTGCGTGAAAGCATTTATGGCTTGACTATTTGAAGAATAGGGAGAGCTATTGAACTGGTGGGTCTCGGACGCTACATCACATTTTGGTTAAGTTTTTGCTGCAAGTTGGTAGCGCTAAAACTAGTGAAAAGAATTGGTTGAAACTTGGAGTGGGATGAAACTTCCCAAAATAATTTTAGAACATAATAAGAGATCACTGTCCAAGACCCATAATTCTAACTAAGGCTCCCACGTTTACAATTTTTTGTAAACGTTTACATGATTGCTAAGAACCGAAACGATACAGTTTAAACGGTGGTACCTCTATGTACTATATACACCATGTATTTGAGTCGCCAAATGATGATTTACTGTGCAGGGCTCATCACGATTGAGTCAGCACACATTTTCTGCATTGTAACCCCATTTTTTACAAAAAATGTATTATGTCACAAGCATTTTTTGCACGGTAATGCTGTGTAAAGGGTTGTCAACACCCATTTTCTGTTTTTATGCTCGCCGCCTTGTCCGTCTGTCCGTCCCTCTTTCCGTCCGTCCGTCCGTCCCCTTTTCTTGTCTGGGACATAACTTTGAAACAACAAGAGGTATCAACATGAAACTTTGTAGGTAGATAGATCTCATTGAGTAGGTGTGCAGTGCACAAGAACCGTAACTCTGCCTTGCTTAATTTTTGAATTATCCTCCTTTGTTTATTTTACACTTTGAACTTTGTCCGGGACATAACTCTAAAAGTATAAGAGGTATCAACATGAAACTTTGTAGGTAGATAGATCTCATTGAGTAGGTGTGCAGTGCACAAGAACCGTAACTCTGCCTTGCCTAATTTTTGAATTATCCCCCTTTGTTTATTTTACTTTTTGAAATTTGTCCGGGACATAACTCTAAAAGTATAAGAGGTATCAACATGAAACTTTGTAGGTAGATAGATCTCATTGTGTAGGTGTGCAGTGCACAAGAACTGTAACTCTGCCTTGCCTAATTTGTGAATTATCCCCCTTTGTTTATTTTACACTTTGAAATTTGTCCGGGACATAACTCTAAAAATATAAGAGGTATCAACATGAAACTTTGTAGGTAGATAGATCTCATTGAGTAGGTGTGCAGTGCACAAGAACTGTAACTCTGCCTTGCCTTATTTGTGAATTATCCCCCTTTGTTTATTTTACACTTTGAACTTTGTCCGGGACAGAACTCTAAAAGTATAAGAGGTATCAACATGAAACTTTGTAGGTAGATAGATCTCATTGAGTATTTGTGCAGTGCACAAGAACTGTAACTCTGCCTTGCCTAATTTTTGAATTATCCCCCTTTGTTTATTTTACACTTTGAACTTTGTCCGGGACATAACTCTAAAAGTATAAGAGGTATCAACATGAAACTTTGTAGGTAGAAAGATCTCATTGAGTATTTGTGCAGTGCACAAGAACCGTAACTCTGCCTTGCCTAATTTTTGAATTATTCCCCTCTGTTAATTTTACACTTTGAACTTTGTCCGGGACATAACTCTAAAAGTATAAGAGGTATCAACATGAAACTTTGTAGGTAGATAGATCTCATTGAGTAGGTGTGCAGTGCATAAGAACCGTAACTCTGCCTTGTCTAATTTTTGAATTATCTCTTTTGTTTATTTTACACTTTGAACTTTGTCCGGGACATAACTCTAAAAGTATAAGAGATATCAACATGAAACTTTGTAGGTAGATAGATCTCATTGAGTAGGTGTGCAGTGAACAAGAACCTTAACTCTGCCTTGCCTAATTTTTGAATTATCCCCCTTTGTTTATTTTTACACTTTGAACTTTGTCCGGGACATAACTCTTAATGTATAAGAGATATCAACATGAAACTTTGTAGGTAGATAGATCTCATTGAGTAAGTTTGCAGTGCACAAGAACTGTAACACTGTCTTGCTTACTTTTGGAGTTATTGCCCTTTGTTCATTTTGACACTTTGAACTTTATCTGGGACATTACTCTAAAATTATAAGAGATATCAACATAGATAGGTCTCATTGGGTGGAAGTGCAGTGCTTAAGAATCATTACTCTGCCTTGCCTTATTTTGAAGTAATTGCCCTTTGTTTATTTTTACTTTTTGACTTTTGTCTTGGACATTACTTTAAAACTATTAGAGATATCAACATGAAACTTTGTAGGTAGCTAGATATAATTGGATAGAACTGCAATGCTTAAAGAACCTCAACAAAGCCTGGTCTAATTTTGGAGTTATTGCCCTTTGTTCATTTTTACACTTTGACTTTTACCTGGGACATAACTCTGATATCATCAGGAAACTTTATAGATAGATAGATCTCATTGAATAGAAGTGCAGTGCAAAAAAACATAACTCTGCTTTGCCTAATTTTGGAGTTTTTGCCCTTTGTTCATTTGTTTTATACTTTCCTGTGTCCAGAACCTTCTCGGGGAGCATCACCCGGTTCAACCGGTTCTTGTTTACTTTGGAATAAACCACAAGAATTGATAAAATCCATGATTACAGGCAATGATTAAGAAATTTTGTAAGATAATATGGTCATTTCGATTAAACGGTAGAAAATATCGTAAACTTTTACGAATAAAAATCGAAACGAATCCGTTTAAATTTGTAATCTTTGGGGCCTTAATTCTAACATAGAAGTTGACAGAATTAAGGGCTTTTTTCATGAGTTTTTGAATTGAGCTTAAAAATATCTACATTATCCAGGCTATTGTTTTTCTATCAAGCTCTGAGAATAGTCAAGCATGCTGTCATACCGACAGCTCTTGCTCAGTTTTAGCTTGTAATCAAATATTTTGTTTATATTATAATCTTCCAACCCATGTACTAAAACATTTTTTTCCGCTCAAATAACTTATGAACTCAATTTTTTCTTGCAATGCTTCAACTTTTTCTGTAACAACATACATTCTTTTATGCCTTTTAGCTGTTACACCTGTGTATTGAAATCCCTAGTTTGGTCACCAGTCTCTGATATTACTCGAGTCTTAAGTTTGATATTTTGATAGGCCACTTTACCTTTTATTCTAAGGAATATAGCTTGATTTTTATGGTTGAATTGAATATTGCAAATAACTTTAACACTACTATACATGTATCTAGTTGATTTTTCAGAGAAATAAAGTTCATGTCAAATTTGTGACCAATGGCATATTATGATAAGATTTGTGTAGATTTAGCATGACTTGGTTTTGGAATGTAGCAAGTTTTATAGTATATCAGAGTGTGCCATTTTATGTTATTGATAGGGCTTGTTCATGTTTCATTAAAGTTGCACAGACAATGCATGAATCGTTTTAGTTATATTGTTTCAAATTGATTTTTCTAACAAATTACATTATGTTTTGAGAAATATATTGTTACAAAATGATAATTATTTTTATATGGACTAAATATTTTACTATAGAGGTGACTATTTTAGTAGCACATTCCAGTTCTCCTGCTATTTTTTTAGCGGCCAAATCTTGTACATAATACTGAAAACAATTTTTTAGATTTACACAATAAATATCTTAATATTATTTTCATTTTCATTTAAACTATGTACTTTTCAGAAAAAGTCATATAATTTAATTGAAGTTTTAAATCAGTTTTAAATTATCATTGTTTCTAAAAATTACCATTAACTTTTTTATGATGAAACTGTAATAAAAGAATTTTAAGAAACATAAATAAGATATTGTTGACAGGGTTGTCTTCCTTATTGATGAATCAAATTAACATATATGTGTATAAATTTATAAAGCTACAAATTTAGATATTGTTGATATTTAGTCAGATATGAAGGCACAGTAAACTTGGCTTTAAAGATGCATTATTAATTTGCTTAGAACACCAAGGTATATCTGCTTATTTATGTTAGATTGGTTTAGATTATATATTTACACAATTGATTTTTACACCACATTAACTTTTCAAACAATATGGAAGCTTAGGCAAGAGACAGGCTATGTAGAAAGTAGAAATAAGTGTAATCTGCAGTTTACTGTGCTCTTATATCTGGCCATCTTATTTATTTCATAGATAGAATTACTATTTCTGCCATACTTATATTACTATTAAGTACTTTACCTGCATGCTTTTAAGAAATGAAAATGAATTACTAGATATATATAAATTGACAAGCCCCTTATATTTTAGCCTAAACCGAAGAAGCCACCACCACCGACACAAGCCTCTGTAACCAAACCGCCGCCCAAACTACCAGACAAAGCCCCAGCAGTTACAGAACATTCCAAACCAGATCCTGTGAAAGGTAAGTCAACATTATGTATAACTTTATAGATAAATAATGTGAAATAAAATTGTTGGTGACCTGAAAGCAGAATATTATATAAAGCTTTTGTTGATATTTTTTAACGATTTCAACCTATATTTTACATGAATTTCAGCCAGGTTATTATTATAAGTGTAAGTCTATAAGTGAAGTTTATTGCATATTAAGTAATCTGTTGTTCATCTGTTAGATGTATTAATATAAATAAGGACACCAAGTGCTAATATGCGTAATTGGGCTGTTTTATTAGCTCACCTGTCACAAAGTGACAGGGTGAGCTTTTGTGATCGCTTTTCGTCCGGCGTCCGTCCGTCCGTCGTCCGTCCGTCCGTAAACTTTTACTTGAAATGACATCTCCTCATAAACCACTAAGCCAATTTCATCCAAACTTCACAGGAATGTTCCTTTGGTGGTCACCTTTAAAAATTGTTCAAAGAATTTAATTCCATGCAGAACTCTGGTTGCCATGGCAACCGAAAGAAAAAACTTTAAATATCTTCTTTTAAAAAACCATAAGAGCTAGAGCTTAGATTTTTGGCATGAAACATCTTCTAGTGAGTGTCTACCAAGTTTGTTCAAATAAAAGCCCTGGGGTCAAAATTGGCCCCGCCCCGGGGGATCATTGATTTTCCCTATATGCATATAGTAAAAACTTAAAAAATCTTCTTTTAAAGAACCCAAAGAGCTAGAGCTAAGATATTTAGCATGAAACATGTTCTAATGGGTTTCTACCAAGTTTGTTCAGATAAAAGCCCTGGGGTCAAAATTGGCCCCGCCCCGGGGGGTCATTGATTTTCCCTATATGCATATAGTAAAAAGTTAAAAAAATTTCTTTTAAAGAACTCAAAGAGCTATGGCTAAGATATTGAGCATCAAACATGTTCTAATAGGTGTCTACCAAGTTTGTTCAAATAAAAGCCCTAGGGTCAAAATTGGCCCCGCCCAAGGGGGGTCATTGATTTTCCCTATATGCATATAGTAAAAACTTAAAAAATCTTCTTTTAAAGAACCAAAAGAGTTAGAGCTAAGATATTTAGCATGAAACATGATCTAATAAGTGTCTACCAAGTTTGTTCAAATAAAAGCCCTGGGGTCAAAATTGGCCCCGCCCCGGGGGGTCATTGATTTTCCCTATATGCATATAGTGAAAACTTAAAAAATCTTCTTTTAAAGAACTCAAAGAGCTATGGCTAAGATATTTAGCATCAAACATGTTTCTAATAGGTGTCTACCAAGTTTGTTCAAATAAAAGCCCTGGGGTCAAAATTGGCACCGCCCCAGGGGTCATTGATTTTCCTTATATGTGTATAGCAAAAACTTAAAAAATCTTTTTTGAAAAACCCAAATAGCTAGAGTTAAGATATTAAGCATGAAACATCTTTTAGTGAGTGTCTACAAAGTTTGTTCAAATAAAAGACCTGGGGTCAAAATTGGCCCCGTCCCGGGGGTCATTGATTTTCTTTATATGTGTATAGCAAAGACTTAAAATCTTCTTTGGAAAAACCCGAATAGCTAGAGTTTAGATATTAAGCATGAAACATCTTCTAGTAAGTGTCTACAAAGTTTGTTCAAATAAAAGCCCTGGGGTCAAAACTGGCCCGGCCCCAGGGGTGTCATTGTTTTTAACTATATGTGTATAGTAAAAACTTTAAAAAAAATCTTCTTTTAAAAAGCCCAATTAGCTAGAGCTTAGATGTTTAGCATAAAACATCTTCTTATGGGTGTCTACCAAGTTTGTGCAAATAAAAGCCCTTGGGTTAAATTGGCCCTGCAACGTTGGGGGGGGGGGCTATATACAGGTGAGCGACCTCAGGGCCATCATGGCCCTCTTGTTGCATGTTGTTATCATATTTTATCATATATTTCAGAAGATAAACCCGTCAGCCAGCAGCCGACTATTCCAACAAAGAAACCAGTACACCCACCTCCACCTCTCACAAAGAAACCAATCAAAGCTATAGATGCTATTAGCAAAGAGGACAAGAAAGACGAATCAAAAACAGGTATTGTAAATATTTATCATTGATTGTAAAACAAGTAAGTGAAATATATCCTATAGATAGCTAAGCTTAAAGGCTTATTAGGCCACAAATATAATATTACATGTACTTTTATTTCTTAAAAGCTTTTTATTTTTGGGTCCTGTAACAGTTTCCAAAAATTACTCATAAACCATAAAGCTGAACCATCTTTTGTTTCTTTTCCATCTTTGCATTTAGTACAGTTACAGTGATTTAATATTTTGTATGGAAGTCAAAATACCACATTATTCCACATGCAGCGAACTTACCTTGGGTGATACTGCGAATTCACTTATATTCGTGGGCATGAAATTTCGTGGTTTTATCAAAACGGGCATTTTCGTGGGTTCTTAAATTCGTGGATTTTCGTTTTCTTGTTAAAAAAAAATTCAGTAACCTAATGCATAGCAATCTAAAACTTAATCGCCGAACATTTTTACTTACAACATGTACATATCTTTACTTGTCACACAGCGCGTGTCAATAAATTTAATCCTTGCCTCTGGGCATAACTCTAATATAGCAGAGTTACTGCCGATAATTGACTGCAATTAACACATTTATGTGACATGATATGCACCTCCGTTGGACACACTGCCCCTGTAATTCGCCGATGTAAACATCGCATAATTTATACGACACCTGACAGGTTTTAACCAGAGAGTTTAAAAGTTTACACCCTTAATTGGTCTTAACATATTTGACAGTAAGTACACGCTACGTCACAGCGACTGTGTAAATAAATGCATATACTATAAATTAATCTCGGTAAATAACACGAGTAAATGTGGATCTTTTAAAAGTCGGTGGCGTCTGATGTTTACGGAATAGCATTCGCACAAATACAGATTAAAATTCATTATACTGGATTCATTATACAGTAAATTGAGGACATTATATAATCGAGTTTTCTTTCAAGTTTCTTAAATATTGCAAACAGATTTAATATGTCACTAACCTGATTATATGTCTGTATTTACATCAATTTTACGAAATATCGACCGGAAAAGAGCCGACGCATGTTTGTTATATATGGAACAGAAACTGGGTAAGATGAATTTGTTGGGATAAAAGTTCGTCGGATCTTAAATTCGTGGATTGACCTACCCACGAAAACCACGAAAATTCGTGCCCCACGAATAATAATGATTTTACAGTAATAGTCAAACCTGCTGTAGATCCATTATTGAAATAGTATAAAACACATGTTTGCCTTAAATAAAAAGAAACAAAGTAATTTTTTGTCTGAGGGTCAATGTGCCCTTCATAAGTTAAGAATTGTAATGACAAAAAGAAGCCTCTCAGTCATTTATCAATTAAGTTGTGTGCCAGAAATTATAACTGCCAATAATGACAAAGTAATGGGAAACCTATTTTGTTTTTTATTTTTCTGTAAATTTTCTGTTAAAGAAAATAAGAATCCCCTGTCTGAGTTGTTGGCAGGTGTCGGATGAAGCTTTATAACACTGTATTCTGTAACTAAGACATTTAAATTATTAAGGTTTCATCACAAATTGTGGTAATGTTATTCATGTTATCCTTGCTTCAAGAACATTAATAACATACAAAGAGGAGCAGTGGTCGACCAGTAGTTGTTAATTTGTATGCCTTTTAACCTATGACTATTGGGTTTGAGCTCAACTTGGCACCTTGTGGCTGAGAGGCTGCCTTTAAGGATTGAGGCATCAGAATTGCAGCCACAGTTTATCCCTGCGTAACCATAAAAATCAATTAAATGGGTTGGAATTACAAGAGTCCTGGTGTTGCATTTATTTTGTAACACCCGAAGTTAGCCAAAATCTTTCCTGTTCTGCACCATATGACCTAAATTGTGTTGATGCGCCGACTTGGAAAACAGGAAAAGTCTATTACAAAATTTAATATTGAGGACTAACATCTTCAAGCCATGACTGTGTTGTAGCTAACACTTCTATGATAATTGATACATTAAATCATTATGTTTAATTTCAGACAAAGCTCATAGTTTTGAAGCAGTGGAGACCGGATCTGACAAATTGACACACCTTACTGCATCACGACCCCGGGGACCAGCGAAAAGACCACCCTCTCAAGTATTCTTACTAAATGTTAGGAAATATTTCTATTTTCACCAAGTGGGAGCTCACCTTGTACCAGCAGTATACACACTGGTTGGATGTTGTAATACATGTCGGAATTCTATAAATTTGTGTACAATATGAAAGTATGCATATTCCTAAACTGTCTACTCAAGTGGATTTCTTGAGTTTGTTGATATAAATCAGTATAGATAAACCAAAGTCAGCAAAGGATTGAGGAATGTTTCATTTGGTGAACATATCCAATAGTGTTTTAGATGAAATAAAAAACAACTATTTGGCATAAACTAATTATTACCAGAAGAGGAGAAAATTACTAAATATTGATAATAAATTTATAGATGCCAGTTTTCAGAACATGAGTATATGTCTCCTTGCTTGAATTAACATACACAAAAGAGGTTTCATATTTTAAGAAAATGAATTCTTTATATAGTACAAGAATAATAACTTACAAACATTTATAGAATTCTGACTATTTTAGCATTAGTATTTGTCTCTAACTTTATGTTTTTAATGCTTTTTTCCCCTTTTGTATGATATACGTTATAGTGTTGTCAAAGTAGATATAATATATCTTGTAGATGATCAGATCTTTTTTGTAGGAAAAAAAAATCACAAAAATTGAGAGCTCCTTTTGTTGAAAATAAAGTAATATTTAGAATAAACAGATATTTATAAGAATTTAATGATATAGCCTGTTAGCAGTGAAGTATATATAACTCTCTAGAATAGAAAAATTAATGATAAAGATATATTATGTATTTATCATAAAAAACAAACTGATTTATATAGGTCAGTAATTTAAGAGACTGAGAGAAAAAATAAGAGGGAGTGTTTTAATGGATATTTTTATGCCACCGCAGCATCTGCGATGCGGTGGCATATAGCGATTCATCTGTGTGTGTGTGTGTGTGTTTGTTTGTTTGTTTGTTTGTGTGTGTTATATAGATTTTATAGTGAACTTAAAAAATCTTCTTGTGAAAAACCACTAGTCCAATTTCAACCAAACTTGGCAGGATTGATCCTTGGGTGAAGGGCTTCCAAAGTTGTTCAAAGAATTTCATTCCATGCAGAAATCTTGTTGCCATGGCAACCAAAAGGAATTATAAGAATAAATTTAAAAAATCTTCTTGTAAAGACCCAAAAAGCCTAGAGCTTAGATATTTTGCATAAGGCATTGTCTGGTAGACCTCTACCAAGATTGTTCAAATTATAGCCCTAGGGTCAAAATTGGCCCCGCCCGGGGGTCATTGATTTTCACTTTATGTACATATAGTAAAAACTTAAAATACCTTCTTGTAAAGAACCAAAAGGCCTAGAGCTTAGATATTTTGCATAAGGCATTGTCTGGTAGACCTCTACCCAGATTGTTCAAATTATAGCCCTGGGGACAAAAACGGCCCCGCCCCGGGGGTCATTGGTTTTCCTTATATGTATAGAGTAAAAACTTATAGTAAAAACTTAAAAAAAAAATCTTCTAGCAATTGACAAATGCTAAGGGTTAGATATTTTGCATGAACATTGTGAAGTGAATCTCATGCAAGATTGTTCAATTTATAGCCCCGGGGTCAAAATTGCCCCCGCCCTGGGGGTCATTGATTTTCAATATATACATATAGTAAAAAATAAAAAATATCTTATTGTCTGAAGGTACAAGGCTTAGAGCTTTAATTTTAAATTTTGTTAAATGATTTCATCTATAGGTACTTCTACCAAAGTTGTTCAAATTTTTGCCTCTAGTTGTGTCAAAATTGCACTGCCCCGGGGCCATAGGTTTTCCTTAAATGTATATAGTAAAAAATGGGAAGAAGCTACAGGTTAGATATTTGACTTAAAAATGTTGTTTGGTGGACCTGTATCAAGATTGTTTTGAATTAAACCCTTGGCCTTGCCCCAAGGGGACAGTGACCTACTTTCTTGTCCTTTCATGTACAGCAATGAAATTTTGACCATGTGCACAGTTTTTATTTGTAAAATTGAACTTTGATATCAGGTGACCTAAGATTTGATGATGTGACCTACTTTCTTGCCTTTGATGTACAGCTATAAAATCATGTGCACAGATTAAGATGTAAAGTGAACTTTGAATATCACAGCTGACCTAGATTTTGACAAAGAGTCTTTCTGTGTTGTCCTTTGATGTAGTCGTGAAATTTAAGCTGTGTGAAATATGACCTTCACCACCGAAAATTCCTGACTTCGGTTGCATTGGTTATATTCCTACTTTATCTTTTATTGGGAATAAAACAATATATTTAACCACTAAATCTATAATTTAAAATTAGAAAGGTAAGGGATCTATGCATTATGACAATCTTCAATTGTAAAGAAACAAAAAAAATCTGTTCCTACACTACTATTTAGTGTTGTATTAATGCGGTGGCATAGCATTTTTCTCAAATGCAATCTTGTTGAGAGTTATCATTGTTTAATATTAACATGTTGATGTCCATGCACTCTAATAATATTCTGCACCATCATATTTAAAGTCAAATTGTTGTTAACACTTCACCACAATATTTTGCACCATCATATTTAAAGTTAATTTGTTGTAAACACTTCACCACTATAAATTAATATGTCCTTTAAGTGTGGTAAAGATGGCCAGGTGGTTGAGGTTGCCAACATAAAGTCTTGTTGTTCCACACCTCTGCTTGTTCTACCAGTGATGT